CAGTTCTGCTTCACTTCTGGTTCTTTATCCTATTTTCTTTCCCATTTTCTTCACCAGGTACTCTTCAGTGTCCACATTCCTGTTCTAGCCCCTACAGTCACTCCAACAAAGCTCCTGGAGCCAGCTGTTTCCCTCCTAGATCCTTCCCAACCACTTCCTAACCATTCCCTAAACACCATTCCCCCATGTAAAGCACATCCTTTCCCCTCTCTCCATATGGTCCTGACTTCCCACCTTTTACAAGGTCCTTAAGGAAACAGAGCATTTCCTCCCTCCCACTCCCAGTCTCTGCTGATCAACCCTGGGTTACCAGCACCTCCCCTCCCCTCCACGGACGACTCAGCCTGCCAAATTCCAGATTTCCAATCCAAATAGACATCCAGGCACTGCATGGGCTGTGGAGATGGAATCTGCAGGTCCTCAGGTTTCAGGATACACTGTCCAAAAGTCTGCCCCAGGAAACCTGCCTTCCTGAGACTCCTGCTATTGTCCAGAGGTGAGATTCCTCAATCCCTACATTGGGATTCTCCTCTGAAGGAGACTCTATCTGCCATGACTTGTAGCTGTTTATTCTCACAGGGGAACCTTCACTTTTCTGAGCAACTCACAGAATATACTGCACTGATAACTTGTCCAAACTTGGGTAAATTTTAATAAAGAGGTGGAAAAACCTACTAGTGGTGACAAATTCCATCACTCTCAGCTTTTAGTTCCACGTTTCAGGACTAGAAGCAGGAAGACCTCAGAGGGAAAGACTAAAGACCCCAAGACATGCAGGTCTTAGAGAGCCTTACATGTCTGGCAAACTGTCCACAAAGCAACTGCAACTCAGAGAAGAGGAGGGGATATTTTAGCCTGAGATGAGAAAGCAGAGATGGATGCACAGGAAAGCAGAAAACATGGGATTTCTGTGTCCAGATGTCACAGAATAATAGAACCATGAAATGGTTTGGGCTGGAAGGGAACTTAATGACCATCCAGTCCCACCCCCTGCCATGGGCAGGGACACCTTCCACTATCCCAGGTTGCTCCAACCCCCATCCAAACTGGCCTTGGACACTTCCAGGGATGGGGCAGCCACAGCTTGATCCACAAAATGAGAAACCATTGCCCTCAGGTCTGACAGCTGCTGAACAGGGCCTTGTGCTCCTAAAGCTGCTGCATTTCCATTTTAAAAGAAAAATAGAGGTGGGAAGAAAGGACCTTGGGCAGAAAACACAGCAGGGTGTTCACAGCTCATGCAAGTTCCACTTGTGAGAGCATCATCCACTCCAGGACTGGAGAGACTGCCAGAGACACCACTGGTGTTCGGCTTTAACCATCTCCCTACGAAAGGCAAGTGAGGGGACAAAAGGAAATCCCAGAAAAGATAAGGTTGGTGCTGGCAGGGATCTATTCTGGGATCCCTCGAGGTCATTTCAAAGAACACACCAGCTTCTTGAACAGTCCTGACCTTTGCTGTGAAACAAGCTGTGAAACCAGACAAACTGTCCTACCTCCATTATATTCCACATTTCCAGAATGTCCATTCTTTGCTTCAAGTTTTTTCTTCAGGAGGTTTTTGATCTGGTAAAAGAAACACATCAGCTCCCTAGTCACCAGTGCTAGCACTCAAAATTTATGTAGATATGCACAGAAAGAGTTGACCTCAGGGGAAAAATCTAGATTTATATTGCTAGTGCTGTGAAGCAGAATTCATTCCTCACACAGCAGACACGAAACCAGAGCTGTTTCATGGTGAGAAAAGTCACTGTACAACATCAAACACGTTGTTTATGTAGCCCAGACTTCTGACACTGGTCAGTCCCAGGTGATTTTAGAAATATTGTTACACTTCCAGGGAAAGATTAATACAGGAAATCTGCCCCACAAGGGAATTTCCTCTTTACGTGTGCTGAGTGTGTGTGTCTTACAGCCCCAGGCCACAATAAAAAATTCTGCTGCTAACTCTGGATGCTCTTATTCCCACATGGACACTGACACCTTCCCAGAAATCCTTCCAGTCTCTCAACCACGGTGCACACCTGCACAAGTGAATTCCACAGGGGAATTCTGTGCTCTGTACAGAAGCATTTCCTTCCATTAATATTATCTGTAATGCCTTTCAATTCCACTGAATTTTTCCTTGCTCTCAAAAACTGTCAGATTAATCAGGAATTTCTGCCTTCCTCCCTCAGTTTTATGTATTTATATACTCCTACCATGCCCCTCTCACCTGCCTCCTTTCTGGAATAAAGAACTCAGCAACTGTCAGTCTTCTTCAGGAGCCATTTCAGAGATAGTGGAACAGCCTGATAATTCCAACAATGCTTCAGAAACCTCAAACCTCATTCCACGTTTTATGATTGGGCAGCATGCAATTAAAATTAGAGAGACTGATAGATCAGCAGTGCTGGGCTAAGCCATTTTTACACCGTGTACTCATCCAGGAACAGGCTGGTAACTGATTTCTTTATTAAGTAAATTTTATCTCTACCAATAAAACCGAACCTTCCAGTTAGGATGGGAGAGAAGAACAACTCCACACAAGCATTGAAACTTTCCACATAATGTGATTTCATTTCGTTCTCTTTGGCTCTAAATTTTCCTCTTATGCTGCAGTCAATATTTATAACATTAGCAAATGAAAAGGAATTTGATGCCCTGGCTTTGATGAGAAACTTTGCTTTTAATAACTCCTTTTTTTTACTGCATTCCTGCTCTGCTCTGGGTAAGGAAAAGCCATATTCCTTCCTTCCCACCAAGGTGGAAGGGGGATCCTGTTTCAATCACTATATGAGAAGAGCACCTTGACAACAATGTAGGCATGGAAGGGAGAGAAGAAGAAAACATCCCTTTGGGAGTGATCCCCTTGTACAACACACCTACCTCACAGGGGTGCTTTGATCCGTCTCTGTTTGCAGTTTAAATTTCTAAGAGAAAGGACAATCTGAAAAGATTCCCAACTATAACATTGAAAATAGAAGCAGCCATGGGAATATCAACAGTCTGACTGGGACACCAGGGATTTCCACACTGATGAAGAAGGAACGTTTCAATGCAGGGTGAGAGAGAAGCTTTGGGCTATTTTTCAGAGCTTGAAGAACTTCTCAAGGAGTTATAAACACTCATTTTCCTTCTAGGCCTTGAATTACTGTCAGAACATATCAGTGAACTTGGAACAGCATTCCCTGTCCAGAGATCATGAGCACAAAGGCACTTTGGTCTAATGCATAGGATTGTACAATTCCAGAGTGGTTTGGGTTGGAAGGACCTTAAAATCATCCCGTCCCACCCCCTGCCATGGGCAGGGACACCTCCCACTATCCCAGGTTGTGGCAACCTGGCCTTGGACACTTCCAGGGATGGGGCAGCCAAAGCTTCTCTGGGCGACCTGTGCCAGGGCCTCCCCACCCTCACAGCCAAGAATTCCTTCCCTAAAGTCTTACTGAATCTTTACTGAATCCCCGATTGGAAGTTTTCCTGGAGTAGATAAAGCTGTACCTTATAAACCTGTTCCTGTCCACAGCCCCCTGAGAGCCACAAACTTCCAACTGACTGATACAATTTCTGACCTGTCATAAGCTTTAAAATAGAGAAGACTCAGGAAGTGGCAAATTTGACAGTGTGAGGAATTTGAGTGTATTAGTCACATTGGATTAAGAACAAGTAGTTGAAGAAAAGATTAAATGTAGCATCAAAATATATTAGAATCTTGTCAGACATTCCTTATTGGCTTAGTTATGAGTTCAGAGACAAAGTGTTGGGGACAGTTAAATGTAATAAAACTGGAGGAAAAACTCCCCTTGCACCAATGCAAATGGAAATTTGTATTCCCAGGCCTTTGCATATCTATATGTGTGCATATATATAAATATGCATGTATGCACACACATTATATATAGCCTTTCCAGTTGATATAAGACATAAGAAGCAGTGTATAAAAATATGAAAGGAAAGTTTTATGAAATGCAGAAGACAGAAAACTTCAGTCAGTAAGGAAAAAAGACCTTGGGGATGAAATATAAATAAGGGGTAACCATGTCAGTAAAAGTCTTTGTTGGGATTGTTCTTTACCTTCCACTGCTATCCAGAAATACCGAGAGATTGCCAAAAAATAAACCCAAAGAAAAGATCTGAAGTTATATTTACAGAGGGTATAACTGCTGAAAACCAGGCTTCTGTTCCCTTGAAAAGGGAGTTACACGTCCAGCTCAGTGGCCAGGTAACAAAGCCCAGGTTTTCCTCCAGACTAGCTGAGAAATGCCCCATTTTTGGTGTAAAGCACAAGGAAGTCCTAGCTGTGTTTCCAGTGGGCCTGGACTGTAGTAAAGATGCCAAGTGCTTTTTCTCCACCCCATTGATCTGCCCTAGAAAAGAATCAACTGCAATTGCAATTCCTCCCTCCAGGGTGAGCAGCTGCACTGCCCTCATCCCTTTGGGATCCTCAGGAAGCAGGAGGTGGAACAGGCACAGGTCACTCATTTGTTGGGGAGAGGAAAGCAAGGGATGTGAAGCTATTCTTCAGGGAGCACTGCACTGCACACCAAAGGATTCAGGGATGTGTTTTCATGCACACCAACATGAAAGTTGCTTTCCTGATGTGATATCCTGATTTATATCCTCTCTGATCCAGAGGAGCTTCATTAAGAAGTTGCCAAGGATCAACATTTTGACTGTTTCAGCCTTTAAGTGCCAAAGCTGGTTCATTTTCTGCAAGCTGAGGGAAGGAGAGTCACTCTGTAGGCAGCTGCCACTTGTTCCAGGACTGTTTGAGTCATATTTGGGTGTGCAGTGACACACTCCCCTGTACTTTCACACTAACTGGACACATCCGGTCTCTTGACTTCATTGTGGCAATCCCTCTGCTTCCCAAATCCCTTCCATCTTTAGGATGGAGCTTCTTTTGGGCAGGATGGAGCTACTTTTGGGCAGGATGGAGCTTCTTTTGGGCAGGATGCTTCTGTAAGCAAAGGAATGAGGTAGCCTACTTTCCAAAGCTAATTTCTTTCTCCAAGTGTGGACATGAGGAAGGTGGCAGAGGGTGGGATGTGACTTCAAAGCAGATGGAAATGCAGAAGAACAGTTGCTTAGCACCTATAAAAGTCAGGCCCACTTCTTCACAAGAGATGTGTGTATTTAGGAATCCATATTTAGCAATCTGCATTTGAATTTTGGCCTCTAAATAACCTAAACCCATCACAGCTCTTTTGGAATGTGTAGATGATTAAATAAACAATGAGATTAAAAGTCATAGGGATCCTGCTGCGGTCCTGGCACCAACCAGCTCCTTGGCACTCGGGAACAGCTTTGCCATCTATTAATGAATGACAGAGAACACAAAAAGGTGCTGTAAAAACTAAATTCCACAATGATTCCTCAGCCAGTGGGACAATAGGGATCAGCCAGCAGCCTTTGTCTGAGCAGGAGATGCAAATTAAAGATTGGAGTCAGAGGCAATTATTCAACCTGGACTATTTCTGTGGGCACGGGAATGTTTGAGAACTGGTCTGTAGCATCTCTTTCTCTGGGAATAAATCGATACAACACGGCAGGACAGAGATAAAGCATCTCAGAAATGTATTTTTAAAAAGGCTGTAGAAATGCTCGACAGGCAGGGCGAATGTGCTCCAAAGCACTTGGAAGCTGAAAATATTTCCTTCACATTCTACTCCTTACTCGATTAGGAAAACTCGCCCGATAAAAGGAGCACGAAAGTACCCTGTAATGACACAGATAAGGGAAGAAAACAGAAGCGTTTCATTCCCATCAGCATCTCCTGCCTTTGTCTCAGCCTGCTCTTTAAACCCGGCTTATGCCGACACTATTTATGTGGGTATCTGTGACCAACTCCGGGTTTTTATGTTAGTGACCTGATTCCGCACTAACACGCTCCTCCCAGCTCGGTGAAGCTCCCCATGTGATCCGTTCTTCCCCCTAAATAAAGTTGACAAATCTGGCTGTGCTCAGAGTGCTGCCGAGGGGGTGCGGAGCTCTTCCCCTCTCCGCAGCTGCGGCACCGCCGCCGCACCGGGGCCGCGCCGGGCCGGGCTCGGGGCTCCAGCACGGCGGGGCTCGGGGCTCCCAGCACCGCTGCCCCCTCTGGAGGAGCCCAGCGAGCCGAGCAGGATGCGGCCGGAGCAGGTGAGCGTGCGTGTATGCTGCGATGGATCCTTTGTGCGGCTCGCGGGGAACTGGAGGAGGGAGGGGGCAGCGGGGGCAATTTTTTAATGGGCAAAGCCCGAAGGTTTGTTCCCTTCCCCGTTGCCCCTTTCCCAAGGGATGTGCCTGATGAGCCGATTCCCAGCAAAGCTCGTTTTCCCCAGTACGGGCAGCGCCTGCGGCAGCGGGGCCACCCGGGCCGGGCACGGGGGAGATCGGGAATGCTCCGCTGCATCCTGCGGTGCTGCTCTGGCCCCCGCAGCCCCACGGGCGGGCACTCGGGCGTACATAGCACACGGCGCTGGGGCTGGCAGGGCACGGCACTGCACGGTACCAGCGTACGGGCTTGGCACGGCACGGCTTGGCACTGCTCAGTGTGGTACCAGCGTGCAGGACCGGCATAGCACCGTGATACCCGAGTGCAGGGCTGGCACAGCACGGCACAGCGACAGCCCCGGGCCAGGCTGTCACAGCACGGTACCAGTCTACGGGCTGGCACGGTACCAGTCTACGGGCTGGCACGGTACCAGTCTACGGGCTGGCACGGCACGGCACAACGATAGCCCCGGGCCAGGCTGGCACAGCGCGGTGCCAGTGCACGGGCTGGCATGGCACGGCACGGAGCTGTACCGGTGTGCAGGACTGGCACTGCACTGCACAGCACAGTACCTGGCACAGCACAGCACCGTGACACCCATGTGCGAGGCTGGCACGACACGGTACTGTACATTGAGGTACCAGTGTGCCGGACTGGCACCATCCCCAAGCAGGTTCCAGGGCTGACCTGCCCATCCTGCTGTCCTCCAGCCTGGCTCAGGGCCACTCGTGGCCCCCCCGGGTGTCCTGCTCTAGTCCCGGGTGTGACCCTCTCCCTCCCCTGGGTGCAGCTTCCCACAACCCCTTCCTACAGACCCACATCATCCTGCTCCTGGCACAAAGGTGTCCCTGGAACCACCTTCCCCCTCCTCTCATGGGATGTGCATCCTCCTCTCCATCCCCACCGGGGCTCCAGGGACCCCCCATTCCTTCCCATCCATCCCACACCTTGTCCTGCTCCCTGTGCTTCCTGAACTCCTCACTCTCCTAAGAGATGATGCCCCCATCCCATGCCCTCCCAGGCAGGGTTCAGCAGTGCCCTGGGATCTCTCACACATTAACTGATCCCAAAGGCATTTCACTGAACTTTTCCCATTTGGAATGTGATTTGGAGCTAAAAGGAAAGTCTCTGCAGCAAGCACTGACTGCTTAAAGTCTTCATTCCCTTCTCCCCCCCTTACCTATCCTTGAGCCTCTGTGCTGGGATCAGTTCACTGCACAACAGTTCAGCCGCACAGAGCCCAGTACTGGCTTCAGACTGGGACAGGAGTGCAGTGAGGAGGAGGGAGGGTGCTTCCTTGCTCTCCTACACCTCTCAAATCACAAGGAGACTATTCTCAGATCGTGCTGTGAGAAAAGAAATAAGATTTGATTCCAGAAATGTACAGACACAAAGTAGCTACCTCTAAACTGACATTCATCACTCCCCCTCCCAGCCCCTGCTCCCTCCCACCCTTTCACTTATTATTTTCCTTGCATAATTTGAATGGTGAAAATCCCTGAATACTGAATATATGGCAGTTCTAGACTGTGTCTGTTCATCAGGAACAGCCACAGTGGCTGCAAGGTGAAGAGTTTTCTTTTAAAATGAGTTGGATGAAAAACTTGAATGTTCAAACAATCTTTTGCTCTTTGGCCTATTAAAAAAAAATGTTATTCCTGCAGGAGCTTCAATCTTGGCAGATTTTAGATCCAAGAGAAAGGCTGCAGAGCCTCCCATTTATAACTGCTTTCCTTGCTTGTGGTAGGGAGGGAGAAATAGGGAGAGGAGAGATTAAATAGGGAGGGGGACACAAAACCAGATCTAATTTGTTCATCCTTATCACAATCAGACCAGAATTAGAACCCTCCTTCACCTGCACAGTAAATGAGAATAAAGAGGCCATTGATCCTCTTTTGGGGGGGGGGGTTAGGTTTTAGGTTTGTTCATTTGAATTCAGCTCTAAACAGCTTTCAGTTTTCATTTACCCTCTAACTCAAGGGAACAATTAAACATCCACCTGTACCTGCACTGGTAAATCCTTGTTGTGGCTCCAAAAAACTAACCAGAGCATTGGGGCAAATTGAGCTTAAAAACAGGTAAATGGGGAAAAATCACTGAGCAGGTTTAAGTTCAGTGTAGGCTTGGGAACTGCTCACTCCAGGGCTTTTATTTACACAGAATAACATTTCAAATACAGACCAAGAGAAAAATTCCCAGGTTGCCTCTCTGTGATCACAGGATGCAACTGCCCCTGATTTTGGAAGGTGTATGGGAAGAACAGCATAAAAAATAAAGAATATGAACTAAATCAGAAAAAAGACCAGTTTCAAAAGAAGAAAGAATCCCCATTTCACAGGGGACTTTTTTTAGCTGATGATCTAAGCCTGTTCCTTGAGCAGGAATGGCTTATCACGAAAATCCTCCCTCCAAAAAGAGGAATGGTGGTAATGCTTTGAGAAAAACAATCTCACCCGAGTTTTTAAAAGGCAGTGAAGCCTATTTCCAAGTGAACACCATGAAGGAACAGGTCTGCTCAACTGCTTAGAGAGCAGCACTTTGATCCAGCACTGTTTCCCAAGTTTCAAAGGGAAAAAAATCCAAACCCTTTCCTAAATGTAAGCCTGTGAAAGGAATAAGCCTCAGTGTCTCTTCCTCACATGTTTCTGTGCATGGCTAAGCCTCAGTCCACGCACCTATGGGGAGCACTAAACAAAAGCTACCATAAAAACATCATCCAAGGATTTCACTGATCAGGATAAGAAAATTCCAGGACAATATACTTTAACTATATAGACAAGAAGGCTAAAACATGGATCACAGGTGCCTTTTAGTGACACTGGTTTAGGGAGGGAATTCATCAGGTGTTCCGTCTATGACTGATGTGCAATTTGTTCCTGGTAAAAGGCAGCAGCAACTTCCATAAGGATTTGGGCTTTGTACACCCCAAAGATCTGCCAAAATATGCAGTTACAGGCAGGCTGTAATCACACCTCAAAAAAGCTGCTCTGTTAATCAATCACAGTTACACTAAATTAACATGTCATACTACCACAAGTCACCAATAAAACCAGAGGGATGAATATCAGCTTCAGAGAGAGCCCAAATCTAAACACAACACTGCTGCTTCAATGAATTTATGCTTCAGAGATTAATGAATTAAAATTAAAACCTTAAAACCAGAATTAGCTCCATGTGGGTTCTCTGTAAAGTTAATGCCCAGGAAAACAGTCCCTTCTGTTTCTGGCCCACAGGAGCTCTGCTGGAACCCAAAAGCAGATTCCTGAGCAGTGGCACATCCTGAAACTTCCCTCTAAATCCTAGGAGCTGTTTTGCTCAGTATCTTTCCAGGCAGAGGGAAGATGGGATCAGGTTCTGCTCTACAATTACTTGGTTTTCTCAAACATCAAGAAATCCCTGAGTTCTCCGAGCCCAGAGCAGCTTCAAGGAAAATCAGGATCCCCTTTCATAGGAACTGGACTTTCTGTTGGCTCCTGGCTCTGGCCAGTGCTGGGATGAGTTCTCACAAACGCTTCCAAAACTGGCAGCCTTTTTTCTCTTCTTGCAGAAGGAAACCTCAAGTGTAATGAAGACAGAACAGGCTGAACAACTGCTAAGAGCAGAGTCCTCTTGTTCACCAGGATAAAACTAGTCTAAAGTGAGAGACCGGGGCTAAAACTTTGTACACTTCATTAAAAGATTAATTGACTTGCTTAATCCTTTATCTAAGATGCCAGTTATAGCACTGGATGTAATCACAAGGGGCTTATGCAAATTCCATTTCCAAGTATGACCACATGTGAAAATCTAATACAGGTAATTTTTCCTCTTTTATTTTGGGATTAACAATAGAGAAGAAAAAGGCATAAAGAGGTTTTTTGATTTGAGGACTTTCCAGATAAATCTATGGTGTTTAACACCTACAAACCTGGTGACACTGCAAATATCCCTGAAGTGTCTTTCTGGAACAAGCCATACTCCAAAGGATAGAGATTCTACAAGGAAGGAGGAAGCCTGGCTGAAAGATTTCCACCTTAAGATTTCAAAAAACACTTTAAGCAGCCAAAAATAAATATTTCTGTGTAAATAGGTACACATTTAAAACACTCCTAAACCCTTTGTTCTTACATGGGGGTTTATAGAAGATGCAGCAAGGCTAAAAATCTCATTACATGTTTTTCAAAGCCTTTTCTCCTTCTTCCATTCCTTCCTCCTCTCCTTCCCTCCTCCTTGTCCCCACACCCATTTGTTCCCACTCCCACTCTGCCTTTTGTCTGCTGCTCCACAGTTCTGGAGGAGGAGGAAGAGCCATTTACATTCCAGGTTTCCAGCATGATGGAGACCCTTCATCCAAAGGTTTTTCACATCAAAAAGATGCAAATTCAGAGAAAAGGAGCCACATTCTTCTCTAATGCAATTAAAATGGAAGAGATAATTTGAAAGGCAGCAGGGAGATTTACAAGAAAGCTGAAGGCAAAAGGAAAGCAAGGCTGAAACTGTATTAAAAAATCAATGTGTATTTAGGGTTATATAAATAGTAGAAGTAATTCAGCATTGGCACAGAGAATGTGGGGATGAGAACACGAGAGAGACACACAGAGACAGAAAACAAGACTCTCCTGCTACTGATATCAGATTTCTTATATTAACTCACAAGGAGCAGGTTTATAGTTTCAGATCAGTCACCTTAACTTTGGGAAAATGTTTTTGTGTTGCTCTGAGAAAGAGTACTGTACCTTTTTCTCACTTGCTGCTGGTTTATCAACCTCTATGGTCCTTATCAACCATCTTTAATCTCCAGCATCAGGAAGACAAAGGAAGACTGAGTTCCTCAAAGGTCAGGGATGAGAAATCAGCTTCCCACTGACAAGGTGGAAGGTGCAGGAGCTCATGTGATTCCTGGCCTTCATCCTTCTGATGAAGCTGAAGATTCTAGACATCACCAAACTTGCTCCTTCCTTTGAAACACAGAATCAGAAAGCAGAGTTTTCTCAACAACATAAACCCTCAAACCACGTCCAATTAAAACTTCCTACAAGTCTGATCTCCCACATGTTATTTTGACTTAATTTTTTTTAGGGATCCAATGCAAATCATCAGTAGTCTCTTTAATACAACACTGATAACATCATTACTGCCAAGGCTCTGGCAAACAGAGGCAAGGGCTGCCCTTATGAAAAGGGAGGAATATCAGTGAAATTAAAAAGCTGTTGATGAACATTGTTATCCCTTTTCAGTAATTCAGGTTTTTGACAGTTGCCAATAACCTGAATTAATCTTGAGACACTGATTTTTGTGACTGTAATTTGCTTTGTTCCTCTCACATAAATTGCATCCAACCCACTCTTACTTTTCCATCCTCAAAAACTACAAAAAAACCCTTAAAAATCTGTTTCTCTCTCCTTTGTTGGAGTATTCAGAGGCACAGAGTTCAAGCCTGGAGAATAAAAGGAAAGACAATGCCTGTCCTAAGGATATTAGAAAACAAGGAGCAGGTTTTGTCCTCCCCACCTTATACTGAGTTGTACTAAAAAAAAAGACATGGAAACAGGAGCCAGGGTAGGAAGTCCATCCCTAGGCAAGGACATGTTCTACATCAAGAGTCTGAGTTTATATAAGTATCAAACTAAAACATCACTATTTCATTAGAAGGTTTAAAAATATAACTTACAGATTTTCTAATGTGCTTTCACAACAAGTTTATTCTAACAAATCGGTATTTCCAGACCAAAAAACAAATAATAAAAATCACTCCCATTATTTTTTTCAATACCTGAATCTTTCTAACATATTTTATTAAACGTTAATGGGAATTAAATGTGCACAGGCCTGAAATCCTGGTTTGCATGTTTGCAATGCTCAGGCCAAATACACTGAAGAATTATGACTCACACAAAACCAACAAAACAAGGGAAGAATTATTTATTCTCTGCTGCTTGCATTAAATCAGAGCATGGACAAGGAAGAATGTTTGGGGGGGGGGTTAAGGGAAAGTTTCCTTTTCTTTGCACATCCTCTGTTTGAACTTCCCGAAGTTCCTCTGTGTCCACCTCTCCAGCTCTGGAATCACAATGACCTGGATTATCAGCCAGTACTGTCCCTGCATGATCCCTTTCCATGTTGGAGTTGTGTCAGGATTTCCTTGTTCACCCAAACAGCCCTTCCCCTTCCAACTGACACCCAGGCATGTTGACTTCCAGGAAAAAGCAAGAGTTCTCCCATAAAACTTCCTTCTTGGCACTTGCAGACACGGGAGGTGGGTCCTTGCAGCCCTAGTTTGCAGTTTTTGAGGTTTCTCTCACCCTTCTTGCCATCCTGGGTCCCTGATCTGTGTCCAAGCAGCAGGAGGGAGCATTCTGTGCCCTCAGGAAGCAAAGGCAGAGTGGAAGGTGGTGGTGGCACCCCACGGTTTGTCACAGCTGCAGCAGAGCCACCAACAGAGTCCTCACACACTGTTTTGAAGGGATTTCTCCATAAAAGCAGCTTCTACCCCAAAATGCAGCTGGACCACAAGCAGAACTTTGCAGATTTAAGATTTTAAAAGCATTCCTGTTTTGATTTTGAAAAGCCACATATCTGAACTGACGGAGAAATGGAGTTACAGATGACGTCCCTGTACCTTCCTGAGCAGTCCAGTCCAGCACCAGCTGCCTAATGACTTTAAATCCTTCATATTTTATTTTCCCCTCAGGAATCTGATAGCTGTGGATACAGATGAAATGAGATACAGGCTCAGGCAAGTATGACAAGATCTGATTTCTCTTAGCACTGAGACATTCCACCCTCCTGCACTTCCATGTGGGTGGTGGACACTTGGCTGCTCCATAAATCAGAGGGGGCATTTCTCAGTTTCTCAAGTTCTTTTATTGCAGTTTCTTTCTTTAGGCTACTTGAAAAAGATGTTGAATATGTAGCCCAGGAACACTAAAATATTCTGCTGTCACCCCCTCCTGATCTATGACTAGCCAGCAGTGCAACACGTAGATATTCATCAAAGATGTGCCACGTTGCACTTGGTCCCTTATGTGAAATGAACTTTCAATCAGCTTCACAAACACCTCAATTTACAGTAAAGTGTGATTTTCAAACTTTCTGTAAAATCCACAATTATTTCTGTCTCTGGGAACATATTGTTCCAAACTGGCAAGAACCGCTATTTACATCCTTTAACATCAACAGAGTGCTAATCTACATAAACAGTCATTATTGCTAACAAGAATGGGCTGTTAATTAGTAAGAGGGACCCTCAGCTCTCTGCTAGCCTAGGTAGGATGAATCTCACATTTCTATAAAGAGGAGGAATTACAACTGTACCCCATCAAACAGAGTATCTCTGAACAAACATTTCCACTCCCAAGATATCTGAAACCTAATTCTGGCCTCCAAGCATTTGGGAGGAAGGTAGAGGGGGTTCAGAGCAAGCTGTTCTTTGAAATAAATAGGCCTGAACGTGCTTAAAGCTCCTCAAAGTAAAATATCCTGGGGCCAAAGACTGAGTGGAAGCAAGAATGAAGACCAGCCCAGCCTTGTTCCTCCTCAGATTTAAGTCTGAAATGGGATTTGGATGTGGGGAGGGAAGGGGGAGGGCAGAGCAGCCCTTGAGAACTGCTCAGATGAGGAAATATTTTGGATTTATCACACACAGCACGTATCAAAGCCAAATGACTTAAATGCGGTTGAAATTCCAGCAGAATTAGGAAAGAGGAGGGGTTTTAAATTCTAAATTAAAGCTCAGTGCCTGTAGGGGAGCTCTTCAATAATCCTGTGTCATTTTTCACCCAGGGCCTTTTTCCAGGCTCCAGATTTGCAGTGAGGGGACCTCCCCAAGTTCAGGATAACGAGGACAAAAACCCCCAATCCAAACCCTCTCCAGACAATCTCTGTCTGAGAACAGATATCAGAGAGGAGGGGAAATAAAACCTCTTCGTGAGAGCTCCTGTTTGCAGCTGATTTTGTTCATGCGCGTGGTGTGAGCAAACACAAGTCACAAAACCTGTCTTTGATTTCACCCTCTTTTGGGAATATCTGGGAGAAGAAAAGAAACACCTCTCAGTGCAACAATTCCTAAGATATAAACTCCACTTTGTTGCAGTGACTTAAGCCCAAGGATAAGCTCTGCCACCACAATGTTACTGGAATATTGATTTGATTTTCTCCAGTTCTCTCCTCTAGAACACAAAGAATCCCAAACTGGCACTAGGCTGAGCTTTCTCCTGACCCTCGGTGAAGAAGACAACACATTCCTGACCTCCTGACTTGGGATATAGAGGAGCTGTGCTATAAACTTTGTGCCACAGGCTGTTACTCCTGCCATCCCTGCCTTCCAAAACAAAGAACACTTCTGATCTCACCTATGCCTGGAGAACCTGAGGAGAAAACCATCTCCTGGATGACACAGGTGCCAAGGGAATCGTAGTTCTTGCTTCATTGGGAATTTTGAGAACACCTCCTGAATCCAAATGAGGCCCAAATTCACAGAGGTCCCTGGACCTGCACTTTTGGCCTCACCAGACTATGAAAACTTTGCTAAATTAAATACAACAAGGGACACTGAAAGTGAGCAGCTGGAGGGGTCCCTGTCGTCCACCATTGCGCTGATCGTCGTGCTGACCATCATTTTCTCCTTGGTAATGACATCCCTAATAACCTACTGCTTCCACAAGTGGAAACTTAGAGGGAAAAGACTGCAGAAAGCACAAGAGGAGTATCAGAAAGACCATGAAAAGAGCATTTGCCAAAGCACATCTGGACTTGTTTCATAAAAAAAAAAAACGGAAAAAAAGGATCCACCACGAAGAACTCTTGAATTACCTGGAAATGAAAATAATGAAAGAACTGCAACTATGAGATTTCCAAGCAAATACATCCTTGTTTTATCTAATTTCTAAGAGTTGTTAGCAGTTTGGAGATTTCCTACAGCTTTATTATACATATATATATATATTTATATATTTAACCTCATTTGTGCAAAGTAAAACATACACAATCATTTATTTCTAATCTCTTTTGTCATTTTAATCTCTCCACAACCTCTCTGGGCAACCTGTGGCAGTGATTCTTGGCTGTGAGGGTGGGGAGGCCCTGGCACAGGTTGCCCAGAGAAGCTGTGGCTGCCCCATCCCTGGAAGTGTCCAAGGCCAGGTTGGAGCAACCTGGTCTAGTGGAAGGTGTCCCTGCCCAAGGCAGGGGGTGGCAATGGATGAGCTTTAAGGTCCTGCCCAACTCTAACCATTGTTCTCTGTATTACTAAACCAGTAAATTCAAATCTGCTGCTCAGACTCTTTTAAAAATCCACTGGAAGGTAAAAAGTCAGATTTTGGTCAGTGCAAACCAACTGATCCAAACCAGTGGAGTTATGTTGTCTTGCACTGATGTAACCATGGGCTGAAGAGGTTGAAATCCAACTAGAGTCTTGAGTAAATCCGATTCCCAGATGCTCAGAGCAACAGCCTGGTCCTGAAGAACTGCTCGTGTCTTCAGTGACACTCCAAGCAGGACCAAACCTGAAATTTAAGTCAGGATTTCCTGAGAGGTGCTCGTGGCATTCCAGCCACAAGTGGATCAAGGACATCCAACACTAGTGGAACACAATTTCCCAAGGGCAGGGCAAGCCCACCACCCTTTTTTTAACTAGGCTTCTAATTCTTTTTAAACCAACCATACACCAGTGTGTTTCTATTTGCAGAGCCTGTAATATCATGTCACAGAGAAATTACAGATTTATTGTGTAGCATCTCTAAGTCATATTTTCTAACAAAGCGATGGATGTAATATTAATAGATGTAACTGTTTTACAAAGTAGAAACCATGTAAAGTTACCACCAAGCCCCCAGCGCAAGGATATAGCTTGCTTGCAATTACCAGTAATGCTGTATGTATTTTTAAACAAGCTATAATACTGTGATGATGCTGTAAACTTATTTCTGTAGGCAAAAAAAAATGTTCTATTTAAAAATGTCAAGATGAAAGATGTAAATGTTCTGGAAGTGCTACCAACTAAAAATATGAATTTTCACAGAATATTCTAAAGATTCTGTTCCATGCTACAGATATATTTTACAAAGGTATTTATGGGTCATACACATCAGTCTGTGAGAACAGTATTATTTTATTACAAAATAAATACATGAATAAACAAGCAGTGAATATCCATGCTCAGAAGCTGGAAAATGTTTGGTTTTTTTTAAATCCCATGATCAATTCTATAGGTCATTTGAAAGATGGAGAACTTTGTACCTTATTGACATAAGGGATCCACCCCAACACATGTCCCAGCCTCCCCCATCCAGATCCTGTCAGTGCAGCCAAAATTCTGCAGAATCAGTTGTGGAGGAAAAAGGGACATGAAAACAATGCAAACGTAGTATTTTTAAGATTAATCTCTGTTTTGCCCAGATTCCAGCCCATTTTTTAAGCCAGTGGCATTCAGAACACCAGCCCTGGTGCAGGGAGTGATCTGCACACACACAGTGTCTCACTGAGGGGAGTGAATAAATAAAAATAAAATAAAAACTCATTCTCTGAAAATCTGAGTGGTAATAAAATTACACTTTGAAGAATGCAAGTATATGTGAAAATGATTTAAAAATACATGGCTGGAAGCACTCCAGCTCTTGCTGGAGGATCTATGGATGATTTGGGATAACTGCCCTGAAAGCTGCAGTCTGGGGTTTTACCAAAGAACTGGGAACATGAACCCTTCCAGCAGCAAAACCTTGTCCCTGGTGCCACCAGCTTAAAGTTCTTTGTCAAGCTCCCAATATGAGTAAAAGGGTTCAGCTCCTCTTCTTGGAAGCTGATCAAAGTGGCTATGGGAAAAAACAGAATTCAAAAACACCTGGCTCTCCCCACAGCCCAATGCCAGGAGTGGAGATGGGTTTATGGAAGGTCAGGGAGTGACCCCGGGGCAGCCTGCATGTTTCAGTTTTTAGTAAAACTTCGGGGAAAAGGTTCAAGATTAATGTAAGGGGGTCATGAAGATGGTTGGAGGGCCGGAGAACCTCTCCCATGAGGAAACGCTGAGAGACCTGGGATTGTTCAGCCTGGAGAAGGTTCCAGGGAAACATCCCTGTGGCCTTTCAGCACTTGAAGGGGGCCTACAAGATGGGGACAAAGTTCCCAGCAAGACCTGGTGCCTCAGGACAAGGGATAACGGTTTTAAACTGAAGGAGGGTTGATTTAGATTAGATATAGGAAAGAAGGTTTTTACAATGAGGGTCGTGAGGCCTTGGCACAGGTTGCCCTGAGAAGCTGTGGCTGCCACATCCCTGGAAGTGTCCAAGGCCAAGCTGGAGCAACCTGGGCTACTGGAAGGTGTCCCTGCCCATGGCAGGGGGTGGGACTGGATGAACTTTAGATGGGCGGGACTGGATGAGCTTTAGAAGGTTCCTTCCAACTCAAACTATTCTATGATCCTAAACTGGACCAGTGGGACTACAACATATTCCCCCAGTAGCTGCAAATCATTATTTAAATATCCCAGAATCCCAGACTGGTTTGGGTTGGGAGGGATCTTAAAGCTCAGCCAGTTCCAACCCCTGCCATGGGCAGGGACACCTCCCACTAGACCAGTTCATCTTTGAATATATTATATTTACCTTTGTTCCCAGCTCAGATCCAGGCACGTTAATTACACTAGAACTTCATTCCCATCAAACCTGTGCTAGCAGCCTGTTGGGATGGAGATGGAACTTTATCCTAGAGGAGATACAAAGAGATGGCCCAAGAGATGGCTAGAAATGAGACTAAGGAATGACTGTGCCTGGCAGCCAGGTTAATTTTTTTCATAGCAGAAGCAAGGGCAAATGGAAGTGAAAATTCCCTTGCTGCAGTCCACAGGAAAACTGATTTTAATTTGAAGAATACAACTTTATCCAAAGGGCCAGTTATAAAGCATAACATCACAAAAGTGCTTATCAGCATACACATAATATAAATATGATAAACTTCTATTTGCACAAAGTTCAGAGCAATAAACTCACATCACCAATCATTCAGAAGATTAAATAATGCAACTGTGTGTATCATGAAGGCCAGAAAGACAAAGCTCCAAAGCATTTTTTCCAGGCAGATTGATTTGTTGCTGAGCCACAGCTGCTTTCCATACGAATACCCCTTGAGCCATCACAGTCCTTTTATACCCCAGAAAGCACAAACAAGGCAGCAGATGAATCAATATTCCTTGATCAGAGTTTTAGAGTGTTTCTTTGGATCAAAAGAAAAATCTGCTGCTGGTGGGGGGAGCTCCTGTGAGGGGGAAAAAAGGAAAAGACGTGATCTACTCTCTTTCCCACAACCTCCCTGACAGAGTTTTTGGATCTCTCAACCCTCAAAGGCTGTAGGATTATAAAATAAATTATTTAGAGGCCTGGATCATTCATTCCATAGTACATCCCTAAGAGCTGCTACAAGAAAACAGAAGGCAAACATTCAGATCTTGGAGTCATCCTTGATAAAAAAATGAAACAAGTGTAGGGAGCAGCAGGAAATGCATCCAAGAGGCAGCAGCAAAATCTACTTTGATTTTTCAGAGGAGATACCTGAGCTGTGTTTGTAACATTTATGCAAACAAACAAGAGCTGTGCAGTCACTGTGTGTGAACATGACAACTATTCTACAGACAAACACTGTCAGACTCCTAACCCAAATAACTCACAGTTCAATGTATTTACAGGAAGGCTCCATGGGAGCTGCAAAGAAATATTTCAGTATCTTTACAAAGTTTCTATCAAAGGAGAAATACCAAAACATATGGATTATATTTTTAAGAAGAGTCCTGGAGCTCCCTTTTTGTGGGTTAAGGGATGAAACCTGTGTTCATCGGCAAAACCAACAAAATTACATTTTCAGAAGATTCGGTTCTTTCACCTGCCAGCCCTTATGAGACTCCACTTGGAACACTGGGTGGGTGCCCTTTGCCTCATGTTTGCAGATGGCTGAAGAATTCAAAAGGTTCAGGAGAAACAGGGAGTGCAGAGCAAAGCAAATAAGGAACAGAGATGGAACATCTAAAAAGGAAAGGTTTGGGAGATTGGAAGGCAGGAACATTTCTGATGATTACAGAGGAAAAGGAAGAAACCAGGAGAGTTTATTCAATACCCAGGTAACCATGTAATCTGCCAACACCTACCTCCATATCCAGCACTTCTCTTCAGGTTTTCCATTGATTTGTGGGAAGGGAAAGCAAGAGGCTAAATAGCCCTCAAGCACTCTTAGAAACACAGAGCACACAGAAGGGAACAACTACACGGGGAGAAAATACAAACCCAACTTCAACAATGCATTTTCCTTGTCCCAAAATGGGAAAAAATCAAATGCAACGGGAAGGTTTAATCCTCTTTGCTTTGTAGCAAAAATTCAGGGAGAGTTCATAGGCAAGGATATCCCTTCAAGATTTCCAGAGGCCTGAATGCACAGAAAGTCAGGAAGCTGGAGACTGATGAGAGGCAGTAACTTTGTGAGTCACACAAGGCCACCAGGTCCCAGCAGGAGCAATGGGACGAGCTCTTGCTGCCAGCACTGATCACAAAGGTGGGCTGCAGTTGTGCCCACACATCAGCTTAAGGCTTTTGAGGCTGCTAGGAGGATGATTTCATTGTCCAACCCACTGAGATTCCCAGCACAAAGCCATTTTATTTGCATGTATCCTGAACCCCAGATATATTCTTTCAAAGACAGTGACTTTGTCATCTTGAAAAATTACAACAAATTCTGAAGTATATTCAAAAAAAAAACCAGGCAAAAATATAATTCAACGTTGTTGAATTATATAAAAATATAAAAATTTTGTAAATTATATAAAAATATAATTCCATGTTGTTTTTTCTCTCCTGGACACCTCTCCTATACAGATTCCATGATTAACTTATTATAATTTCTCATCTCGTTGCCATCCGCAGTCTTGCTGATTTAATTCTGTTATAGTCTCATTATTTTACTTCTATAAATACCCCATTTCATTTTACTGCTTTCTATAGTTACTTTGCAACCAACCTGCTTTTTTTTCTCCTCCACCTGGGGCCCTCACTTTCAATTTAACATGAGACAGTGGGGAAAGATTGAGCTGAAATGCAGTAATTACACCTCCCTGCCCTGAAAAACGGAATCGTTTATTTTTCTTACAGATGGAAGCAGCTGTGAGCTGCTCTGAAATCCCATAGCAATCCTACAAAAATTATTACTTGCCAGATTAATAATAGAAACTCTTGGCTTCTGTAATTTGAAAAACATATAGAGATGGATTAAAATGTATTATAACATTTGCATTTAGGAAGAATAAAGAGTTGACTCAGAACCCAGACACAACATGCTGGACATATCTGGTTCCACCTGCAGGAATATTAAACCACTACCCAATTCACCACTGCCAGAGCAGGTTATATCCATATTAGTTGGTATTCCATGTGCAACTCTCCCACTTCTTTATGTCCTTGAGTCATTTTAACACTTTCAGGCCTTACATTTTCTGACCTTTCAGCCTTTGCCACAAGGACCTGGGATCCTCTGAAGGTTTGGGAAAGCTTCTGAGGGCTTCTCCTAGAAGTGTGAGCATGTTCTGAAACAGAAAGAAAACATGGATTTGTATTCCCGGCATTTCTCATGTCCTTTATCCCAAACCTGCCACTGGCAGCTCCATCCAGCCCCTCAAAAGCAGCTGGGTGGGCAGCACTTCAGCAGTACAAGTTGCGGGGGTTTTAAAGGGTCCTGTTTTAAAGTGTCCTGTTTAAAAATTCATGGCCAGTGATCTGCTCCCTAAAGCAGGTTTCTTCCCTAAGGAGGGAAAAGGAAAAGCAGATGGCCTTTGAGGGAAGCACAGAGGAAAACAAAGTGGAAAAAAGTGAAACTTCACTTGACACTGAAGTTCTTAAATCTTAGGTATGGAGTGAGTGAGAGTCAAAAATCAGGAGAGTGGAACTATTAGGGGAAAAAGGGAATGTGTGGTACAGCACAAACTCCCACCTTGCTCATAAACACGGGAAGAGATCCCAGAGCTTCAGGAAGGCACTACTCATTCACTGCTCAGGAACAATTTGACTCCCTTTCAAGAAAGGAAAGAGAAGAGCTCTTCCTTCAGAGAGATCCAAGGAATTCTCTACCTTTCAGCTCCATTGCCTCCCATCTGCTCCAGAGGCACTTCCTACCCATAAAGCTTCAACCTTGTGACACTGGCACAGACAGAAAACAGTTTTTCCAAGAAGAAATCTCAGGGTATCCGGAAGGTCTCAGCCCCCACATCATCTTTCAGGGTCCTATTCCAAGACTCCTACACCAAAGGATGAGCAAGGAAGACCAGAATGGGCACAGTTACCTACTGTCACATCAATTTATTTACCCTTTTGTCTTGCAAGGCCCATCAAAAAGCAAAAACAAGAGAGACCCAGAACCAACATAGGACATCCTGGGAATGACCGTCAGCTTCCATAAATCAGGCAGGCTCAGATGATTTGATCACTATGTTGGTCCAAAAGCATTTTAATTGCCAAATTCTATTTTGACTTGCACTGCATTCAGGTCACTCTGATCTCACTGCCATCAATCAGGGGGAAATCTGCCTTACAGATCCTTTAGTTGCAGTACCTACAGAATGCTAAAAAAACATTATTTAACAAAATTTTTTTACAATATTTGCTTACTCTGGAGTAAATCTGTTCTTCCAGTTTCGCTTGGATTAAAGCACCTTCCATCAGAGCCTTTTTTTGCCTGACAAAGGCAATCCTGGCCAGCTCTGCCTCCTTCTTCTGGCAGTCAGGGCATGATGAAGCCTCGTGGATTCGAGCTTCTGTCACCTGGAAGAGAAGACTTTGGTGCAATGAGCAATGTCTGTCCCAGTGAGATGGCCTCTCCTTAAGAATAATCAATAAAAATACAGATAGAGGGACTGTCTAAAGACAAAAACTGGCTTTTAAGGCAAATTCTTTCATAGTCAGCAATAACTCCACCATCTCAACGTGCTTGTCCCTATGCTGGCAGTGTTCACAAGGGCTCCAACGCCAACCACAGAGGTTGTGATTCTCTTCACAAATTCTAAGAGGCAAATAAACTCTGAAGCAATTAGTTCAAATATGCAGCTCTGAGGCAGAATACAAACAAAATCCTACAGTTCTCTTTGGAAGATAACCAGTTCTACTCAGTAACTCCTGTGTTAGTTCATCCACCATGAAAACTGAAGAGTATTTAACGGCATTACGTGAACCCCAGTGTTTGTGCTTTTGTGAAATATCAATAGTTTTATCTGATTTCATTGATACTGATTCCATCTGGCTACATAAACACAATAAGTTGCTCCAAAAGCAGCGGAATAATCCTGGTAAGTCACATCTCAAGCCTCTCTATCCTCTTCTTCCTTGACTTCTCTGCATAAAAATGTGTGTGGAGGTAAAGACAGAAGCAAACAGAGCAGTTACTTTTCTTAGAAAATACATATTTTCTAATATAAACCAAATATATTTAGAAAATATATTTTTTAATGTAAGACAAATAAAGAGGAAGTAAAAATTCTACAAAATTTGGAAGGTGAGTTAACGTTAATACAGTGAAAAAATGCAGATGGTTGAAATCTCAAAATAATTTAAACAGACAGATTTAAACAGAAATACTTTTCACACCAAAACTGAATTTAAAGTATTACTTTAAATACCTCATAAAGTATTACTTTAATTACTTTTACAGAGGGAGGGGAGGAGCTGTGACAAAAAGCCCATCCTGTGGTGGGAAAACCCACTGGGCTGGTGAAAAAGAAAAGCACTTGGAATTGGGTAAAGGTGATACAGATGTTTCTTAATCAAGGGACTAAGGTCACCAAGATTTTATTGGACTTGCTTTAATTCTTCAATATTGCCTAATACCTAAGAAAGCTGGGAGCAGAGGGGTTGCCTTTGGAATACTTCTAATCCTGGAATCACAAAGACATCACAGCAAATAATATGCAGAATAATTTGATAAATAACTGGTACCAACATAACCAGCAAACAAGGTTTTTTCTTCTGCTGATCCAGGGGTTACTGGGTGTGCAATAACTGATGATCCCAGCCTGGCTCAGTCACACAAAGTATTACTTTATCAGCAGCCAGTTTTTGATGATGATTTGATTCTTTACTAGCAGGAGTGTCTAAGAAAGGAGACAGATCAATGCTGGGGTATCAACCCAGAAGCTCTTTCAGAGGCCTGAGTGAGGCATCACTAAGCTCTGTTTGATTTGATCCTCATGGTATGGCTTTATTATCCAGTGCTTTAGCCAAAATCTCCCTGGCTTTCACCTGCTTAACAGTCTCTCTGATGTTTTCCAGGAGGATTCTGTTCATCAGCTGACCAGGAACAATGCAGTTCCCATCTCTTGTCCCAGTTTTCACTGCTGGGACTCCATCCTGCAGCTTCTTTGCCTTGCCCGTGTTTCCCTGCTCAGGGCTCAGCTGCTGGTTCATCCCATTTATCTTCCTGGTGCAAAAAGACCTGAGAGCATCCAGTTCTCCATCAAATAATTGAGGAATTTCTGTCAGGCATAAGTCAATAAAACAAACCCATCAATTACTGTATCAAGGAAAGTGAAGAATTCCTTCCTATATCTATCTATCTATCTATCTATCTATCTATCTATCTATCTATATATCTATATATAGATAGATATTCCTTCCTATATCTATCTATCTATATCTATCTATCTATATCTCTATATATTCCTTTATAGATATAAAATAAATACATATAAAAATATTAGATATATAAACATTAGCTATATAATAGATATGAATAATAAAATATTTATTATATAGTATAAAACCAATATAGATTAGCTTATATATTATTTATATTTTTATATCTTTATTTAATGTATATTTATATATTATTTTATATTAATATATATTTCTATTTATATACATATAATGTTTAAAAAAAAAAAATCTTTTCCTCTTTCATCTTGTCTTATCCTTCCCTGTGGCATGCAAAAATAAATAAAATCGAGATTATACTTCAGATGGGTGGGTTAAGATGGATTTTTTTATCATCATCATGGTTGGGCTTCGCGAACGAAGATTTGGGGAGGGCTCTACCCACGTTTGTTACAAGTGCACTAAAAAGGCTAATAAGGCCAGTACGAGATAGGCACGTCTGGCTGCAAAAGGCACAGCAGAAAGACTCCTTAGGTGGTATAAGGAGATTTTTTATACATAAATGTATATTTATATATTATATATATTATATAATATATTTTAGATATTATATAATATGTTTTATATATTATATTTGTGTATGTTATATAGTATATTTTTCTAAATTATATATACATATAAAATAAAAATAAATATAAAATCTGGATAAGAACTGCAGGAACTTGCACAATAAATGTCTCTATGAATAAACTCCAAATAGGGGAGCAGAAAAGAACCTGAAAGAATGAGGCTACTAATGATACAGATAAAATATCAGTAGTTAAATACTATGACATTAAGTAACCTGTCTTTCAATAACTGCCTCATACAGATTTAGCTTCTTCCTACCTGAAACTGCAGGTTGCTAAACCAAAATGAATTAACACTTCAAGAGGGTTCCTCTAAGGAGCAATTCATAACAAAAATTAGAGGCAGTAGCTGTGGAAGTCACTCTGGAAACACCTCAAATAGATTCTACAACCTCAGGCAGGCACTTCTTTTTTTGGAGAAGGGCAATTCCATGAGAAAATACTTTCTCCTAAAGCTTCAACAATTGTTCTTCATAAGATCTTGTTTAAAAAACATCTTCCCCTCTCTCATCTTCTCTTATCCTTCCCAGTGGCATGTAAAAATAAATAAAATTGAGATTATCCTTCAGGTGGGTGGGTTGGGATGGATTTACAACTTTATTCAGTGCTTTGTGGGGGATTTTCCACAGGCTTAAACCACAATCAATACAGTATTTCATGGGCATCGGCATGGAATGATGCTGTGCAGCTGTACATGGCCTGATTACGGAATTTAAACAATCCCTCCACATTGTTTTACTCCTTGTCAGGTTTAAATTTGGTTTTATTTCTCCTAGTCAGGCGCTCCAGGTTTCCTGGTGCTTATCTGACAACCATTGGCATGGGATATTCCAATGCCATGGGACACCTTGGCATAACCACAACACACACTCTTAAAAAAAGCAGGAATGGAAAACTTCCCCTAAATGCACTGGCACGAATTTAGTCTTGAGGAGACAAGACAGAGCTGTGGAATTCTGCAAGGGAACTCGGCATCTCTTCAGAAATGCAGCTGATGTTTATAAAGGATAAGGGGATCCATAGTTAAAAGGAAGCAAAGCAGGAGTTTTGTTTCATGGACAACATGGAAAATATGTCATTTAAGTACAACTACCAGTTCAGAATCAGACACCACAGAGCAGTTTACTCCTCCTTAGAAGATGATGTATCTAACTGACTGTAGACAAAGACATGGTGACGATTTATAGACAGATGAATCAGAATAAGCAATACCTTAAAATGCAATTTAATGAAAACAAATTTGCTTTGTAGGATCATAAACATTTGAGTGGAAACCACCATTTCAGTCAGCAGGTGACTTTCCTTACTATTGCAATGCGGACAGTGCAAATCATGTGCCAATTCTGGGTTTAATTACACTGAAAAACAGGGGCATATTCATTTATGCTGTGCAGAGAATTAATTAAAAAAAATTAAAAGTTACCATTATGGGGGGGGAAAACCCAGAACAAAAGCATTTAAGTACTCAAAGCCATAAGTAAAACCCCTGGAGGCTGTGACAATTTAATACCAGCCTAACTAATTCACTTAAGGTTCTCCTGACATACAGAAGTGCATTTTTTATTAAGAATTGGTTTCTAATAATGCATGAAGTCTGTGCTGCCACACACCCACCCCTTTGCTCATCTGCACCTACAGACATCAGAAAAAACACCAGCAAAGAGAACAGCAAGTTTTAAACCTCCCTGCACGACTCGTTCCTGAAGTTACTTTTTAATATTGATTCCCATTTAAAAGTAATCTCAGAGAGAATAAAAATTATCAAGGACTATAATTTTTCTGAAACAAGAACAAAAAAAGCTATGAGAAAAGTCAGCACACAGTTAAATTGGGGAAAGTTTTGTCTTTTCTCTGCACACTGACTCCAGTTTCCAATTTTTTCCCAGGTGGAGAAGATTTACTTGTCCTTCAGCTCTGCACTGGTTCGTTTTATTTCTGGTATCTCTCACATATTCCCTCCTTTCCATCCCAGATCCTTCTCCATTTGGGGCGGCAGATTTAAATGTCCCTGCCCTGTGCCCACAGAGAATCCCTGCAGTGCCAATTACTGCTCCACAAGAACACTTTCCTACTGCTTGGCTGCCCCAAATCCAGTGCTCCTCACACCTTCTTCACTTTGCAGCAACAGCAGTGAGAAGACAATGGGAAGATCCCCGCAGAATCCATGGCTTTTGGAAGAAACTCCTTCTTTCCCAGTTCCATCAAGGCATTAATGAACGTTTTACAAGCAGGGTTTCCATTTCTGGCTGGAATTTCCACATCCAGACCACGTTAATTCTTACCTACAGAATCAGAAGACAGGTCTGGAATCTCAAGGCCTTTTTTATTTTTAACTTGACACAACAATCGCAGTAACAATAATGATTAAATGAGTGATAGTGACTGAAGGAGGGATGATGCAGAAGAGGTGACAGGAGCAGCAGAAGTGCCACCAGGACAGGCATCTAGTCAGAGCCACATCTCACGCAGCAGGAAAGGTCACGAAACATGGAATATTTAGGAAGTAAAGCCCCATAGTGGCCCAAGAAGCTGCTCTGATGACAAAAAGCCTTGGTGTGTACCACTAGAGATAAATTAATCCATATGTCTAGATCCCAAACCCTGCTGGGAGCTTTGTAACTAAGTGACCTACATAAATTTTGCTTTCTGTGACATTTTAAATCTGTGAGGGGTGGGAGTAAAAGAGGAAAAGTCTTTCCTCAGTTTCCTTTCCCTTTGAAACTAACTTTAATAGGAAAATTGGCAGGCATTTTGTTATTATTATGCTCTGCTGATACTCTGTTTTAAGAAGAAAAAAAGGAAAAAGAGATAATTGTGAAAGGCAGCAACTGGTAACTACTCTCGAGAAAGATTTTCCCTCTGCATCTCAAGATCTTCATGATTACCTAAAGTGATTTGTACAACTGAGTGCAGCAGGTCAGGGTAACATGCTGACAGCAAACAGTTTGTGAAAGATCCCTGCAGGCAACATAGAACTGACCTACCAGGCTGAACTATCAGGTTATTTATCATGAATATGAATTTAAAGCAAATTAAACTCCTCCAGCACAGTGAATCATTGTAGTATCATGGAACGGTTTGGGTTAGGAGGGACATCAAGGATCATCCAGTCCCACCCCCTGCCATGAACAGGGACACCTTCCACTAGCCCAGGTTCCTCCAACCTGGCCTTGGACACTTGCAGGGATCCAGGGGCAGCCACAGCTTCTCTGGGCAGCCTGTGCCAGGGCCTCCTCACCCTCCCAGCCAGGAATTCCTTCCCAATATCCCATCTAACCCTGCCCTCTGGCAGTGGGAAGCCATTCCCCCTTGTCCTGTCCCTCCATCCCTTGTCCCCAGTCCCTCTCCAGCTCTCCTGGAGTCCCTTTAGGCCCAGGTCTCCCTGGAGCCTTCTCTTCTCCCGGTGAACACCCCCAGCTCTCACAGCCTGGCTCCAGAGCAGGGTTTCCATTTAGGTGTTGCTGGTTGGAATTTCCACATCCAGCCTACGTTAATTCTACTTAACTACAGAATCAGAAGACAAGTCTGGAATCTCAGGGCGTTTTTTACTTTTAGCTTGACACCACTATCAAAGTAACAATAACGACTGAGTGACTGAACTGTATCTGAGCCACAAACATTTCTTTGCCTCCAAATAACACACATTACCAGCTCAAGCTTTCACTTTTGACAGCAATAGTGCAGTGGAAAGTAACAAGCAAAGCATTTAATGTAGGCATGTTACAAAGGTGAGATCAAACTTGTGAGCACAGCACGACTCACAGGGTTAAAAAGCCCCCCTTGAATTTTCAGATAGATCCAAGTTGAAGAATTGCAGTTTGCTGAGTAAATTTTAAAGATGAGTAGTGATCGTTGAAATAATCTATATGGAATTGGGGATTTAGAGTCATGTTGTGATGCATTTTGCCTAATAACTCTGGTGGAAGAGGGACAGAGAAGAGGATAGAAAGAGAATTATGACAAAAATTTCTCCCTTCTCCTAAGGCCAGCATTCAGCTTTTCCTTCTTTCAGCCCACAGAGAAAACTAGGAAAAAATAAGAATCACATTCCAGGACATTTCCATAGGTACACTAGAACTTTTTTTTCCCCTCCCTATTAGGAAGATAAGAAAAAAAGGGTTTATTACAAAGAAGACAAATTCAGAAGTACCCTGCATGCTCACTGCACACATAATTCACTTTGCTGAGTGTACTGAGGGGACTCACTGTGGAGCAAATCTAGTTCTAGTGAGCTCATCTTCTATTATATTTTTGTTTAAAAATCTCCAAGTTGTTAAAATAGTATAAGGCTTGGGAGCTCCTGCACACTGAATGATTAAGTCAAAGAGAAGTAGGCAGTTCTAGATGTCAGTGTGCAAAAGCTGCTGTGCTTTACTTTATTTGTATGTTAATATTCTGCAATAAATGTAGTCCATGGCTAAAGTATCGTTGCTACTGATGAATTTGGGGGTAACATGGATAAGCATGAAGCATATTTTGTGCTCTTCATATTGATGGTGGTTGGGAGCACTGGTGTAACAATGACAAGGGACAGCACAGGCAGAAGACAACACATGCCTTCATAAATCAGCACTAGAGAATGGAACAGAACTGCTCAAGTCCTCTCCTTACCCATCAACATCCATACACCAAAGGCAGAACATTCTCTTGTGCAGAACTACAAAAGTCTGGAAGTGATCCTATGAGTAAAATCTTCCAAGTGCAACTTTCAAGGGAAAGTAGAGATGGAAAACATCCTCAACCTCAAACTGTGGTTTTTCACTCAGTGACTCTGGAACTCCTCGGGTCCCTTTTAATTTCTCCGTGAATCAGCCACAGGATTCTGAGATATTTTAGGAATATCATCTCTGAGGAGCTGGCCAGGAGAAGCCTCTCTACTACAGATGAGCTGCTCTACTAAAAGCCTGCTTGGTAGCCTTGAGAAAACAGGAACACAAGGATAAATGCAGAAGATGAGTCAGGAACTCACAGCTTTGACTCACCACTGCTCAACAATTAAGAACAGCCTAGAAATGACCTTAGCTCCTGTTTTTCTAGGATGGTTTGAGGATGTTTGTGCCACAAAGTGCCTAGGCAGGAGGATCTCCTGGTTAATCAGTCTTACAAGTGACCTACAAAACTCCTGATCTTGTTCACTTCCCATGAACACACAGACTGAGGAAGACTCTCTGTCTGCTTCCACTAATTTTTTGCTCAATTCCAGCTTTCTTGCTCTTTTTTTTTTTTTAATTAAAAATAGCATCTCTGACACACTTTTGAGAGAGACTTTAGCAGGACTTGCATCCCACCATCTGCTCTCACAGTTGCTTGTGTAACCAGTACACAGAAACGCATCCTCTTCCTTCCTTCCTTCCCCTCTCCTCCTCCTCCTCCACATTCTCCATCATTGTGGTGGTTAAAGCTGCTCCATTGTTCTTGCCAAAATTGGTGCCCTGCTGCCTCCCTCAGCTTGGGAAAGGAATTAAAATAGGGCAAACAGGTAATTCAATAATCCATAAAGTTGATTAACAGGGTGTCCTAGTTAGAGCAGCTGGAACTAGTTCATCACTGTGTGGGTGTAACCCAAACTGTGTATTCTACACCCTCCATGTCATTTCCCAGGAACCGTTAACAATAGACCATTTGCAGCAGCTGCCCAGAGCACACCTGACCCCTCAGGCTATAAGCTGAGTGTCAGGAAGCCTGTGAGATAGGAGGACGTTCCTGTCCTCACACCAATGACTCAGGTGTGATAACTCCCCTCTGGGGAGTCTTTAGCACATCCACACCCAGCCTGAGGGGTCATGTCTGCTAATGGGCTACCAAGGATTCCAAAAATATCTCACCACTCACGGTCACCCACTGTGGAACTCCCCGCCTGGGGGAGGTACTGGGCACTCCCACTGGAACCTGAGTGTAAATAATCTTGGGGTCTTGGGACTTCTGGTACCACTCATCAGATCCAGAGGAGGATCAGAACTTCGAGCAGACTGCGATCACCACTCTCACCAACAGGTTCTCCTTTCCTTTTCCTTTGGACCAGGTGGGGCTCAGCACAGGGGCCAACAAACACCACTCTGTTCGTGCCCCAGGGTGCTGGGTTATACATCTGGGTTTTGTGGGTTAAAACCAATTGTTTGTCTGTATAATTGTATTTATTGTATTATTTTTTTTAAATTGTAACTGACTTATAATCTCACTTGAGCTGGGTTCATTTCTCCTGCCAGTTTACTTTTAAACCAGCACACAGGGGAAAAACATCTCACACAATAAATTCCAAAGTCACGTTTATTTTGGAGGGAAAAACTCCACACTTCTAATACCTGTACTGGTACTGGAGCTGAAAGAGAAAGCTGGAGAGAAAAAAAAAAACTTAACAATCCAGTAAAAATTGAGGCTTACAGTTAAACTTAAAATGTGGATACATTTTTTTAATGTGTTTATCCAGATTCTGTGATAATGCATCACTAGGATAATGTCACTATATCAGGAGCATCAAAGCCATGTATGTATGGGAGAAAAACTGCTTGGCAAGAAAGCCTAAAAGAGAAACTTTGTATTTAATTACCTGGCTAATTATCCAGCTTAACAGCCTGCATATAAAATTTAAGTCTAGTTAAAAGTTTATATCCCCTCTCAAAAGAAATTATTACAACCTCTACTGAAGTAACTGAACTCACCACCATGAGTTTTCCTGACAGAGTTGTCCTGTTTAACCTCAGCTTCTTTATTTTTTAGATCTCTCCATCTTCCCGTGGCATCAATCCATTTTCCTATGGCAACTCTTTCCAGAGCTGCAGAATCCACTCCTTCAGATTGCTCCTCTGTAATGAAAAAAGGCAACTTTGAACACACCTTGTGAGGAAAGCAGGACTGCAGAAAAGCAAACAATGCTCCACTTGAACGTGCCAGTTTGCCCTGGTGAGGGAAAAGAAACCCCAAGCCACAGGAATACACAGATGAGACCAGAGATTTCAGCTAAACAAGCTTCTGTCCCATAAAATACCTTCCACTGCTCATTCCTAATCACCCCACTGAACCAGGATTCACTGAGAAAATGGGAGCCTGTTCACACGTTCAATTTGATCTGTAATGTCACACTAATCTCATCTCCCTCCTTCAGCCCCATCAGTTATTTCCAGCTCTTTCTTTTGTGGCCACACACTCTTAGGAGCTCAGCTGAACTGTCTCAGGGTATTGATCCAAGTGGAAAATAAGGTGGCACAAGGGAAATAAAAATTCTGTATCAGCTCCCTGTTCTCCAGCTTGTTCCAGTTGGACTCGATGATCCTTGTGGGTCTCTTCCAACCCAGAATATTCTGTGATTCTGGGAACTCCAGTTCTGCAGGAACTAAGGAAACTACAAAGATGTGAAAGCAAAGAGCTGGGAAAGGACAAAACACTTGGAAGGTCTGAGAAGTCCCTACCAGTGACAGCAAGGTGCACATGGCATGGCCCCAATTCAAAACAGGGAGCATCTCCTTTCTCTGTTCTGTTTTCAGGGTTCTGACAGCAAATTCCATGGGCTTAGACAAGGAAATAATGTGTCCCTATGGGAGCAGCAGCATGACAGGCTTTCTGTGGGTTTTATTATTTATATATGCTGCTCTCAGGAAAATATATACCACAGAAAGCAATCAATTCCCCCCAAAAAATTCTCTGTGAATTATTCTCCAGTTTCTCATTTAACTGAGAGCATTCAGAAGACTCTGTTATTTTATGAAATATTAATCTTGTAAAGATAAAAAGTGGTAACACTTACTAAAGAAACCTCTATGCACACAGTAAGGATTGCTCCTAGCATGTGTTCCTTGATGTCAGAAATAAGGATTTCAATCGTTAGACATGGAATAATTTAAAGAATCTTGTTATATTTCCAGGAAAAAAAATAGGGATTAAAACATATCATTTGTAAAACTACAAAAATTTTTAAGCAAAAAACACAAATCAGACACTGTTCAATTTTAGGGATGTATCATGAATTGATACCAAGACAATGATCACCTCTTTATTCAGATTTTTGAAGCACTGATCTCCAATGCTGAATTCTGTGCTACAATAAACAGGAGTATGTATTTGACAGCAAAGTTTGGCCTCCATGGGTGGCATTTCAGGCTTAAACAGTATTTTTAAAGGATTCCTAAAGATAATGGTGGTTCTTACTGTAGAGTGAAAAAAACCTCAAGTAAAATGTTGGATGGATGAAGGATAGGAAGAACATCTCTACTGGACCTGTCTATAGTAGGAAAAGAAACAGCTTCCCAATATGAAACCATAGTAACTATATTTAACATTATCTATTATATAATATATAATTACAATATATAAAATATATATAATTATAATATATAATTCACATTATATATTGGTATATGTCAGCTGACCAAGCTGAACTGAATAGAATCAGATCACAAAACTAACAGCCAACAGACATTAAAATAAATCTTGTTTACACTACCTTTAAAAATACATTAAAAGTGTTGTAGCTAATCTTTGAAGCTATAAAGTTTTATATATGCTGCAAGCTCCCAAACTAAATTAAAAGATTATTCATCTCTTTAAGTATCCACAATATTTACCACTCCAAACTTGGAGAAAAGGAGAACACAAGAGAATGACAGAGAACCCTGCAGAGAGAAAAGAAAACCTAACAGAGCTGATTTATCCCTCATTTAATGCAGCTTCTTCATTGCCCAGAGAAGCTGAGGCTGCCCCATCCCTGGAAGTGCTCAAGGCCAGGTTGGATAGGGAATCCAGCCTTCCTCAGTATTTCAAATCCTGGAACTTTCCCTTGGAAAACTTATTTTATGGCCCAGCTACTTTTCAGATGTGGTAACTCAGTCAAGACAACTTGCGGAATATTTTTTTTTTAAGATGCCAACAGAATTTCAGCATCACAAGATTACAAAGGAAGGGCTTCCATGGCCAAATCGTTCCACATGGAGCTGTTGGCGAATCCTGGGAGCACAGATCTGGTCAGCACACTGAGGGTCTGTTCCTCTGCACAGGAGGAACACTGTGCGCAATCTTCGCATGTTTATTTTTGCTGATTCAAGTCCCCAGAGCACTGATCGGAAGCTGAGAAAGGAGGTGTCTGGGAGGGAAAGCTCTGCATACCTGCATGACTTTGGCCTGACAACCATGATGTGCTTTCCAACACATCTGAGCCCTCCAGATCCTCTGTGGGACAGCAGGAGCCAGATGGTTTGATCTCCTCCTCCTCACTGAAGGACTCAAAGGTATCTTCTGAACAGTCCAAAGCAGAGCTGTTGTAACTCTGGCTCAACTCCACCCACCCCCTTTTGTGGCTCCCAGAGCTGTCTGAAGGGACAGTCCCCATGGGGAAACACTGCAAGAAAAAAACAACAGCAAACAAGTTGAATTTCACAGGGAGAGGGACAAGATTACTTACAGCACAGGGGACGTATGGAGGGCTGTCACAGCTCAGCTCACACCTCGTTTAGCTCCCACAACAGGGGGATAAAATCACAACTCAGCCACTGGATCAAGGCAACACCTTCAAAGCACAAGTTCAGATCCACAGGGTAAGTGCACAGTAACAATCAGCACTGAGCATTAACCATGAATCCTGAGCAGCATTCCTTTCAAACCTGCAGTGAATTACAGGAACACTTGGACAAAATCAGTCCTCTTGAAAAAAAAAATTAAATGGTAAATTTTTGCTTTCAGATTTTGTGGCCTCTCACCACTCCAAAATACAAAACCTCCTTTTTCTGCCTAGATTTCTTCTAGAAAATAAAAAAGAAAACACAACCAGCATGAGCCAGCTGGTGCTCTCAAATGAAGAGTCAAGCTCCTAAAGCAAAAAGGAGATAAAGTTCTCCAGATACAAGCTCCAGTCACAAAACAGGCCTCAGACAGAAACCTATCACGCAACAGATTTATTTTAAAGCTTTGTTCTTACTTATTTTATCCTTTTTTAAAATCAGAATAATACCCCTTCTTCCTGTGAACTTAAGGACCTAAATAGCTTTGTCCCAAATAATTTTGCTCCAATTTTTTCCCTACTCCCATTAAGTAAGGAGATTAAATGTGGGCAACATCCCTCTGGAAAGATGCTGGCAGCAGTCACAGCTCCTCCACCAGAGAGATGGGAACCCAGTGTGATAATAGTAGGTAGAAAAAGGCACGTTCTGTCCTGTACTCGGGGTTTAGGCAGCTTTGGTTTAAAGGTGCTGACTTTGGCCATTTCCCTACTGAACACGTTCTGCTGCCTGTTTCGCCCGCCCCATTACTGCCAAAATCTTTCTGCACACTCTATAAAGACTTTGTGCCCCTAAAACAAATTCAGCCCTTCCTTCCCAAGGCTAGATGTCCAAAACTCAGCTGTAGTCCCAAATCTATAAGTCCAGAGGTTTCCTTTTTGTTCGTGGTGCCAAAAACGAAAAGAATTGTTCTGTTTTGAACTGGAAATATTAATGAACACTAAGCAGTTCTTTTGTTCCTCACACTACCACTGAGTCAGTGGTTATTAAGGTCTGGTGTGCTGAAGAAAACAATAGGAATTGCAAACACAGTGAATTAGTTCTCCAGCCCCCAGCTGACCCAGGTGGCAGCTGCACAAGCAGCATGGGGAGGGTTAAGGAACAAGAAAATTAATTTTGCAAGTCATAAGACTGGCTGAGTGAGAAATGTTTCATAATATGTGATGCAACTGATATTCGCTCATTTCCACAGTGAAAGCAGCTGTTTGTCAAAATAGCAGCAGATAACTGTAATAAACTGTAAGTATACTTATAAATAGCACATAAAACTGGTTTTAGAAAATTTTAAACAGTTTTACAATTGTAAAGTTCGATCTGCTGTAATCACTGTGTAACCTGGTCTATGGGAAGGTGCCCCTGCCCATGGCAGGGGTGTTGGAAGGGACCTTAAAGCTCATCCAGTCCCATCCCTGCCATGGGAAGAGACACCTCCCACTATCCCAGGTTGCTCCAAGCCCTGTCCAGCCTGGCCTTGGACACTTCCAGGGATGGGGCAGCCACAGCTTCTCTGGGCAACCTGTGCCAGAGTCTCCCCACCGTCACAGCCAGGAATTCCTTCCCAATATCCCATCTAACCCCGCCCTCTGGCAGTGGGAAGCCATTCCCTGTGTCCTGTCCCCCCATCCCTTGTCCCAGGTCCCTCTCCAGCTCTCCTAGAGCCCATTTAGGCCCTGGAAGGGGCTCTCAGGTCTCCCTGGAGAGCCCTTTTCTCCCGGTGAACACTCCCAGCTCTCCCAGCTCTCCCAGCCTGGCTCCAGAGCAAAGCGGCTCCGGCCCTCGGAGCAGCTCCGTGGCCTCCTCTGGATTTGCTCCAGCAGCTCCGTGTCCGATAACTCCTCATCTGTGTTCCCCCCGCTCCTCCTCATTCCTCCCAGAGCCCTCACGGGCTCTGGGAGCTGCTCTACCCTCCTCACACCCTCCAGGACGCCTCCTTACCCAGCCCGGCTCTCCCGGCCAGGAAGCGGCGGACCCGGCAGCCAGCGGGGCGGGCACGGGGCGGGCACGGGGTGGGCACGGGGCGGGCAGTCTGGGCCGTCCCGCCCCCGAGGCAGCCGGTCCTGCCTTAAAACATTCGCGCTTTGATGGAGGTGGGAAGTTGCACCTCGCGCAGCTCTGGACCCTGCACTCTAAAAAAGACATTTAGGCGCTGGAGCGTATCCGGAGAAGGGGAATAAGGCTTGTGGAGGGTCTAAAACACTCGGCTGGTGAGGAGCGGCTGAGGGAGCTGGGGGGGTTTAGTCTCGAAAAGAGGAGACTCGTCATAACAACGATACCAGGCACCTCCAAAATTCCTGACCCTCCTTACAAACCAGGATAAAGAGCACTTTACTGACAGCGTTGGTGCCCAACAGCCAGCTCAGGACAGCCCCACGTCCCATGGCCATCAGCTCTGTCCTGGGCTGGGCATGGGGGAGAGCAAAACAGGCTCTAAATGGGAACACCACGAGGTTTCCCAATCCTTTCACCAGGCCTTCCACACCAAGCCATGCCTGTTACACATATTAAACATCAGAAATCATTGCGAAAACACGGGTTAAAGGGCTGGGCATGGAGTGTTACGACTTCTGCTAAAAGCATCCTATGCTCCAGGTCAGCCGCAGCTCTGTTTTGCCATTAGAACAGAAAAGCCAAGAGAAACAGTAGGTAATTTTAAATTTACTTTTTTACCGTTATTTTTAAATTACTCTTTTACCTTTAGGACAGTGTATCATATCCCAGAAGATGAACACAAATGGCTCTCAAGACACCTGTAATTCTTTCTCTTCAAAGCAACAGAATCACTCTGTACAACTTCCCCCCCCGCCACCCCCCCAGAACAGGAGGTTGTGGTGAGGTGGGGTCTGGTCTGTTTGCTGCGCCTGCAGTGAGAGGAAAGAGGGAATGGCCTTTAATTGAGACAGGGGAAATCCAGATTAGATATTAGAACCCAAATTTTCACTGTTCAAGTAGTCAGGCATTGGAATAGGGAGAGATTCTGCCACCCAGGGAGGTCATGGATTCACCATCCCTGGAGGCATTCAAAAGGCATCTGGATCTGGGGCTGGGTGATGTGGTTTAGGTGTTTAGGGGTTACGGTGGTGGTGCTTGGTTGATGGTTGGACTAGATGACCTTAAAGGTCTCTTCCAACCTTGGTAACCCTGAGATACAGCTGTTGTTAGGCTGGAGGTGCTGGCTGAGGCTGGGTGTGCCCTTGGCTTGGGGTGCTGGCTGTACTGTGGCTGCACTCTCAGATGCAACACCTCATGGAAATAAAGGACAAAAGGTTTGTATTTCAGGCCATGAAGTCTACCTGTATTTTCAGGTACAATTTCCATCATGATAAAAACAGCTCTTCTGTACCTTGGGATCTTGCTTTAATATTGCTATTTCAGGTTAGCAATACAACGTTTTTTTCTTTCGGTGAGGTTCTTTTTGGCAAGAGAAGCTGATTCTCCAGTTCTGGGAGATGCACGGTGTGTTGTCTGGCACTTGAAATCACTGAGGTGTTTTAGCCTCATAAGTACCTCATGCTGTATTTGGACTGACTGGCCAAGATCTCAGCTTGGCAGAAATCTTTAGGATAGATCTAGTCTTCTCTCACATTTGATTAAGTGCAGCCCATGATTTCAGCAGTAATCTCGTGTCTCTTGAAAGAGACAACTCTGTGCTGCATCTATATATGATGTGACTTGGCTCCCTGCCAAGTCCCCAAACCTCACCACAAGACTCCCCCCCCCAAACCAAGGGCGAAGAGGAAAAAACACCAAGAGAACTGAAACAAGAGAGAGAGAGCTAAATCAATATATATATATATATTTGCACTTATATTACAGTTATATACAATTGAAATATATGTACAATTTCAAAGGGAAAAGGGAAAGGGGAGGAGAAAGGAAAAAAGGAACAAAACCAAAATAAAATATACACGATCAATAGCCCAAGATCTAGCAACTAAAAGAATTAGCAAAAGAATATCTTACGACTCTCCTTGGGACAACAGAAAGTTGCGCTGGAACAACCGCCGGCAACCTCCGTCTCCCAAGGTCGACAAGGCCTTACCAGGCCTCGCTCCCCAACACGACAGGCTCAACAGCAGGAAACCCTCACCTCCAAGACGCCAGAAGGAAAGAGAATGAAGGCCTCTCCTCCTTTCTTCTTGTAGCCCGGCTTACATAAAAATTGTAGGGAATACTGGGTGAATCTGGGCACTTCCTTGGTTACAAACTGGTCACCAAGGAAGGCCTAGACCAAACTACCACAATATAATATAAATGTGATCGATGAAACGAGGCTAGAATTTTGATTTGCAAGGTAATAGAAAAATTTATTAATTCCAACAAGCAAAAACGGCTAGCCGGGCGACAGGGGGAAACCTCAATTCCAACCGCGGTCCACGAAAAGGGAACAGAAACAGCACCAGTTATACCCTCTGTTGTCACCTCCCCCCATAGTCATGTCACTAGTCCATTGGAGGAAGTTTCGCGGGCTGCATCCTGCTTGGTTCCCTCTTCGCGGGCTGGCTTGGGGTTGGTTTCTCCTTTCCCGGGCAATTGTTGTTGCTGAGGGGTGTCCACCAATGATATCAAAGTCATTGAGTTCTATGTGTCCATGCTCCTAGAAATTTCCATGAGGACGGTTACTGATCATCTGGACTCCTCGTGATCCACCCCTCCATACGGGTTCCTATTGTCACACTTAGGACAAACATCTTTAAAATATGTCAAATCATCCCTGCGTTGTGTTAATCAGCTTATAACTTTAAGGAACTTGTGGTTAGGCATTATGCAACCTGTCAAATTATGATTCTAACAGAGTAATCCATACAACACAGTAACTTCATTAACTCTCTCTCATTCTGAGCAGCAAATTTCCTCAGTTTACTTATAACATAAAGAAAGATTGGCCATCATAATGAAATAGATCCACAGTGCTGCAAGAGAGTAAATAAATGCATTGATACAATGGAGTGGAAAGCAAAGTGGAATAAACAGCTCTGCCTACACAGTTGTTTTAAGATCCAGTCGTTGGCTGCTTTCTGCAGGGTGGGCTGCTTGAGGCTGGTGCTTTTCTTCTGGTTTGCTACAAGAAATTAAAATAATTCACTTGTGATAAACATTCCTTTTACATTTTCCATCCATAGTAGTGATCAGAGAGGGATGGGAGTAGAAGGGGCAATTATCTGTTCTACAGGAAGTGGGAGTCAGCTGCAAGGAAGGAAGGAAGCTGCAAGGAAGGATAAGTTTAGCGCAGCCAAACCTGCATTGTGTATTAAACCTCTCCAACCCAGGGATTCATCTCACACTGATATAGTTCCTTTTCCTTCTCAGGAAAGTAACATTGCAGACTATCTCTCAAGCACCCAAGCTGAGTGAGATCAGCATCTGGGAGGATCTAAGATACAGCCTGGCAGATTTCATGCTCTGAGTTATAAATGGAAAAATAGGGTTGGGAGAGACATTACATTTTCTTTAAAATTCTAATCAACATACACAGAGAATAACACAGCTCCTCACAGTTCCCTCTACACACCTCCCTGGCAGCTTGCTTCTTGATTATTTAGCATTCTCCATTTTTTTTTTTTTTGGAAACAGTTGACATTAGATTATGTCAAGAAGTCATTGTTTGGGGCCTTCTGTATTTACAATGGATATTTTACCTTCCCTTAATTCACGCCTCTAATTAGAAAATGGATTGATCTTTGCCTGAAGTTGCTGGAGACTGGCAGGTGTCCATGGCAGAGCAGAGCTCTGCAGATGAATGGGAAAAGTGTCCATGGAACTTCAGACAGGGGGGAAAAAAATGTATATTTATAGGCAGCTGTTGTTAATTATGCTTTGGTTGGTGTAGGAAACCACAATTAGCTCGACTACACTCTGCCTTCCTAATTTTGCCTTGTGCTTTCAGCTGGATAAATCTCTCTCCTCACTTGATTCCTAATGGGGTGGGAAAGAGCAAATCTTAATCTTCCCACATTGATGCCTTTCAGAACAAGCTGCAGGTTTCCTGGTGAGTCCTCTCTCCTTCCAGTAGCAAGAATTTCAATAACCTGGTGGGGAAACATCTGAAAATGCAATGAAGTTCCGTTAGGCAGTGCTATCAAATATCTATTCACGTGGATCATTTCCATTTATATGGAAGCATCTGAACTCCTCACCAGAGACATGTAGGCTGGGCCTGAATCTCTAAATCACATCTTTCCCAACAGTCTTGATCTTTTGGGTCTGAATAAATCCAGTGCTGCTTTTAACAGTAATCTGAGCACAGGAAAATTCCCAGATCTTCCTCTGAGGGACACAGAAAGGTTTTGGGTTTTTAATTTTGGATCCTTGTGGATGTATTTGCATCAGTTCATTTGAATTTTTCCTCATCCCATGTGATTGTAGGTGCTTTAAATAGTTGGATATTGAAGACCAGTGGTTTATCCCTGTGCTTACAAGGAATAATGCATTTCCTTAGATGGACAGCTTGGTGTTTTTTTTTTTGCTGAACATCACATTAATTCACGTGAAAGAGGAGAACTCAGAAAGCCGCAGAGTCAATGCTTGATATTTCTTTCATTTTCTTCTCTCCTTTTATTATTTTTGCTTTAATGATTTCCCTGGGGGCCATCCTGCTGAATTCCCGGTGTGTTGCTGTGGGGAGAGCTTTCAAAGGGAATGGCAAAGGCTTTTGCCAGATCAATACTAGACTTATTAATCAGATTTCTTTGGTAATAAGTTGACTCTTTTGGGAGTCTTTCAGAATTTACTTCAAACTGATGAGTTATTTTGACAGTTCAGAAAATGTTTTAATTTTGAAATTGCAATTTTTCATATTGACACTGTGTTTAACCCATCATGTTGTAAAAACACAGGGTTTATTTGTTCCTCAGAGAGCTTTTGGAATCCTAGTCATTACAGGATTGAAGTGCCCTACACATGCTGGAGGTCATATTAGCAAGGCTTTTTCTGTTTTCCTTCTAATTCTTTATTGGGGGAATATTATTTCTGCTGGAGAAGGTGGAGTGATTTTGTAGTTTGTTCAGA